CCCCAAAACCCCAAAACCCCAAAACCCCAAAACCCCATATAAGCCTATTACTAAAGAACTTATAAATAATTAATAATAAATACCAAAAATGGAAGAACAAAAAGAAGTACTGATCTGTTGTAAGCCAGGCTGTTCTGTGAAGTTGCTATACTGGTCGGAAGAGGAGGAAAGAGGGGTGTGTATTAAGCATTGGCAGGATGAAGAGGGGGATTTGAGCAAGGTGTGGAGGATTACTGGCCAGAGTTATGAGGATGTGTTGAAGTGAAGAGATGAGATTATGATGCTAATCGAAAAATGGAAAGACGATGAAAATAACTCTCGAGATAAATGTACTGGCACTGAGTTTCTCGATATATCTTTAAAAATTATTGAAGAAAATTTTGATAAGCTTAAGGAATATCTAGAAAATGAAGAGCTTTGCAAGTTTTCAGAAGCCAATAATGGATGTAAATGAAAGTTATCTTCAGACCAAGTTTCAAATGCTAGAAAACTACCCCCTCATGAAGGTTATATGCGTTATCTAGACCCAGAAACACTATTCAAGCTTGTATCGATTCCAATAGAGAGAATTAAGGATGAATCTGGACTACAAGATCCATCTTTAAAGGAAGATAATCAACACATACCAGATGAAAACATTCAAGAAGTTATAGATAAGGTGAACAACGAGATAGAGGAAATTCTTAAGAAGAAAATACTTTTATCTCCTAAGAATTGGAAGCTGTTCAATGGATATTTCAAGAAATTAGAGAAGGAAGGAAATATCGAACAGACTGGAAACTTTCATTCTCAATCATTATCTAAAACTTTATGATTTGAGATGATTTCAAATGCTTTTATTTTATTTAATACAAAAGCTAAATTGAGTATATAATAGAGCCAAAAGGAGAATTAGGAACAAAAATTAATAAGTAAGGCATCATATATTTCGTAGGATGAAAATCTATCTAAATATTATTGACAATTGTTAATTCCTCACTCTTCCATTTAATTATAGCTTTGTTTTCTAATTTTGGGAAGCAAAGAGCTCGACTTAAGCCACATCTCAGTCTGATTTGCTATGAGATCAAAATAATTTTAATTCATTGTTTTATTATTAATCTCGATAGAGTAAATTAGACTGAAATCATTGAGGTTTAGTTGATTAACATTACTATAGTCTACATATTTTTAAGAATGGTTTTAAAGAGTACCAATACAAGACAAAAGGAAGCATGCTGACAGGTATTAAAGATTCAGAACAACTCTATAAATTCATGCTCATCATTTCTTTCAGAAGATTAGCGAGATTGCAAAATCTCGAAAAATCACCAGAATTAGATAGAGCAAATCTTTTGACTACTGATAGTAAATTCTTCTTTCGAAGGATTTTTGAATTTCGGGATAAGGAAGAAAAGATTCAAGAGAATATTTATGACAATACTCTTCCTAAGGATAATGATAACAAACTTCCATGTGAGCATGATGACTGTCAGCTTCCCTCTTTCTATTACCTCCCTGAATATGAGATTAAGCTCTGCTTTTTACATCGGTTCCATAGTGATTATAAAGATTTATCAAAATGAATTTGCCTCCGACCTCATAATCTCCTTGAAACCTTTAAGATAACAAAGAAGCCAATTCCAAAGGATATAAGACAGAGTTTGCTTATTGGTGGTGAAGCTTCAGCTGGCAAAGACATTATCTTAAGTAATATTGATTATTTTAAGGAATTTATCCAGAACGAACTCATACTTCACTGATTTGATAATGAAAAGAAATCTCTTAAAAATAAGCAGTCTCAAGATTCTACCTATTTTGAAGATGATCTGATTTCAGCTATGTGAAATAATAAGAATAACCTGTCTTACTTATAATTCCTGCTCTGAATGCTCATAAATTCAGCAAAGATCAAAAGGATATTAAACTGAAAATTATGGTCTATGAAGAAATTAGTGAAAAAGGTATATCGATTGAAGATATCATCAAAAGGTAAGTTGGTTTTAATTAATTAAAATTTAAGAGATATTGAGAATGAAGAAAATTTTGATACTCAAGATGATACTAACTCAGATGAACTTGGTAAATTTATTATTTATACTAATTCTAAATTTGAACAAACTCAATCCAGGATCTATTCTAACAATATTTCAGAAGATTCAACCGCAAAAGGAACAGATTCTCAAGATAAAAGCTCTGATCATAACCTTTCTTCCCCAAAAGACCCCAAATCTCCGCATGAACCAATCGAAGAGGATAAAGCACCTCAGGACAATCCTCCCATTCAGAATCAACAACCACCTAAAAATGAGGAATCAAAACATTCCAAATTAAATCAGAATGAAGAAGAATCCGAATCTGAATCAGATAATATCTCAGATTATAAGGAAGAAGAAAATAAATCCCTACGAAGTTTTGTTGAACAAGAGTCATCACAAAATTTTAGTAATGATTCAAAATCAAAACGCATGGAAGAATATACCAATTTTAATGAGTCAGAACAAGAAGAGAGCAAAGATGAGGGTTACGACTCCAGAGGAATACCATATTCTGAGGAAGAGAAGGTAGAATACAATGTTAAAATCAATAAATTATATCAAAAAATAGAACAGAAGATTCTCCTGAAATATCATTTGTTCTTTAATTCTAATAAGGGAATATATCAAAATATTGAGGATAACGAAGAATTCCAAAAAGAGTACCTAGCCCTATTTGATGCTGAGATAGAGGAAGAACTGGTAGAAATCTTGAAAATTCAATTTACTAAAGAGTATTCAGATAAGCTAAAAGAGATTATCCATGACAAAGAACTCATAATTGATTTTAGGAATGACAGGGATTATAAATTTTTCTCAGAATTCAAATACATTATTAAACTTAAGAAAGTTGAATTTACTAATGTTCCAAAGGAAGACAAGCATATACAAGTTTATCTTCTACAATACTTTCCTGAATTTTGTGATTCTTTAACGTTTAAACTTGAAAATAAAACCAAGAAAGATGGCATCAATTTCTATTTTGATGGGCTTAAACAAATCAGCTCAAGAATAAAATAAAGACTTAAATCTTTGGTATTGTAAACTCAACCAAGATCAAATAGTCAGTCTTTTTGAAGAATGGAAAGATATTAAGAAAATTGAATTCAACTGATGTGAACTTAATCTTAAATCAGTCCCTAATCTTGGTGATTCACTAAAATATTCAAAAATCGAAACATTTAAGCTATGATACTGAGGAGACTGGAAGCTTAACAGATACCAATTTGTAAACTTAGCCCAAGGACTATACCAGATCAAACACTTCTTCCAAAACCTCAAATCCCTTTACATCTGGGGCAATAAAATCTCCAAACAAGAAGTACTCCAAATCCTCCAATCGTAAGCCCTAAATCTCCTCTCCACATTCCTCCCACTCCCTTCCCTCCTCTAACCCCCTCTCCAGCTGCTCCTCCCCAGTCACCCCAGTCACCCCCCTCACCACTCCAAAACCCATACTCCAATCCTCTTCCCCCACTTCCACAACTTCTTCAAGTTCCTCTTCCTCCAAGATTCCAAGTGAGCATCCAGCCCAAGCAGAGTCGTTAGCGGTCAACCTGAAGAAAATAGATATTTACTGCAGGTAGGTTCTGGCTGTGACCAGGTTTAGTACGAAGGATTTTGTGAAGAGAAGATAAGTGAGAATAGAGAGTTAAGATTTGATGAGATAAGATTTAAAGGAAAAATTTTGCTCGGACATAAAGTGTTAGCCTATTTAATCCTTTCTCTCTAAACCTCATCTGTTCATTGTTTAACTTTATTGAATGCCCAAACGGGTTTTCTTAAAAATCTCTCGTGTAGCTTGACTGTAGGTTGATTTTGGTTGTCTCAAGGAGAGTTACAGCTGAAGAATAAGAAGCCAGGCTAATAAAATTGGGATTTAGGGTATGTGGGGTTTAGAGGAGGTAAAAGAATTCGTTGTGTTTGTTAGGTTAAATTGTGATATAGATATTTGCATTTAGGAGTTATTAATAATAATATGCTATATCACAACTTTCGAATAGTATATGGGGTTTTGGGGTTTTGGGGTTTTGGGGTTTTGGGG